TGCTCCCGAGTGCCCGGGGCTGGCGCATCGCTGAGAGCCTCGGCAAGTTCCTGGGGGAGTTTGTGCCGCTCCCCTGGTTCCCGCTGCCGCAGCGTCTGACGCGCCCGTTTCTGTTTTGTAGATCGCTCTTACATGAGGTTAACAGAGAAGGAAGATGAAACGTTGCCCATAGATGTAAGTGAAAGTTTTCAAGCGTCATCCTGTCTGCATAATTTAGTCTCACTTCCTTGTTTTTCGTGTGATAGGCAAGAACAAAGGGTAATTCTGCTTTTAAATTGCACTTACATTTGAGCTCCCTCAGTCAAAAAGATCCGTGTTTGTTACCCCAGATTCCTGCAGAGAGAGCAGCCCCGGGGCCAGGCCTCCCTCTCCTCTAGAAATACCCTGAAGGATCTGTCCAGGAATTCCATGTAGCTCCCAAAGCTTTTGCCCTCAACTCCTCCTTTGCAGCAAGAACATCCTCCTCCTCCTGGCTTCTGTTGACTGACATTTGTTTACCCAGCGTGGATCCCAGCACAGCCTGGGTCAGGAAGGTGGTTTTTTTTCTGTTTATCTCCTTGTTTTCTAAATTCCACTCCAATTGTTCCTCATTCCATTTTTGCTAAGTCAGAAAGGGAAGGAGATCAAATACCCAGGACAACCAGGGGTAGCAGAGGGACAGAGCAGCCAAGCTGGCTGCTCCCAGGGGTGTGAGATCCCCAGAGCACACCAGAACAAGGTGCTTTGTTCCAAGGATCTTGCTGAGGAGCCCTGGGAATCCATCCAGTTGCTGCAGCACAGAGGGATGTCAGGCAGCTGAAGCTCTTCCCAGCTTTGCTGTGCTCCACAGGCCAGTGCTTCATCTTCCCATGCCTCAGTTTCCCTGTGGCTGGAGGAAAAAACACAAGAGACTGTTAGAAAGAGGAGACTTTGGGGCAAATCTTAATAACATGGAGTAATGTCTGTTGCTTTGTGCTTCCCTCTGTTGCAGATAGTCCTTCAGACTCTGCTGGCCTTTGCAGTGACCTGCTATGGGATCGTACATATCGCAGGGGAGTTCAAGGACATGGATGCCACTTCAGAACTGAAAAATAAGTATGTTTGATTTCTTCTTTTCATAAACACCTGGATCTGCTGCTCTCTGCAAACTGAGCACTGAGGCAGCTCACTCTTTAGCTCAGTTCTTTAATGCACGTTGTGGGCAGTAACACTGGGAGGAATAGTCACAGAACCGGAGTCAGGGAACCAGAACAAATGAAATACACTTCTTGCTTTTCCTCATCCAAAATCCTGCTGGGCAGAGTTGGTAGAGGAATGCAACGTCCACATGGGACACGAGAGCTCAGCAGTCACAAGCTGCTGTTGAGATGGTCTCAAAGGGCAGTGTGCCTCTGCACAAGGGTCTGAATTACTTGACCCTCACAATGAACTGTTCCAGGAGGGATATCTGAAAGATTTTCAGGGATTTTGATGGAGATTTTGAAAAGGTTATGAAGGCAGGTTGGATGGGGCTCTGGGCAACCTGGTCTGGTGGGAGGTGTCCCTGCTTGTGCAGGGGGGTTGGATCTAGATGATCTTTGAGGTCCCTTCCAACCCAAACCAGCCTGGGATTCTATGGAATTGGATGAGCAGACACAGCCTCTCTGTCCATTTCCCAAACCAGAGAAGCTTAAGAAGAAAACAGGTTAAGATTGGGTTATCTAATATCATTTACCTCAGCATCAGACACAGGAGGGGATGGAAAGCTGGCAGTGACCAGCACAGTGACCCCCAGGCCTGCCCCTAAGCTCCAGGAAGGGAGGTGACATCTCTCTGTCCCCTGGGGGGGGGACAGCCTCTGCCTGTTGGTATGTGTCACGCTGGGCTTTGTATTTCTTCCATGTTTTGGTTTAGGAAACATAAAGTGAGCAAGACTTGGATTCAAAACTTGTATTTCCATGTCTGAGAAAGCTGGTGCACCCTGGGATGGCTCTTCTATCCCCCTGCTCTGCAGCAGTATTAACCTTGACTTTTTACATTTATTTTGAAGGACGTTTGACACATTAAGGAACCATCCATCTTTTTATGTATTTAATCATCGTGGTAGAGTATTGTTCCAGTCCCCAGACACAGTGAATTCTTCTTCAAACCAAGATGCTTTGTCATCCAGCTCATCACTGAAATTTAGAAAACTTGAACCTCTGCGTCGCTAAGACTTTGACAGAGAATCATCATAATCCAGGACACTGGGATGTAATATTCAAGTCGGGGATGTAAACACTTTTTTTAATTTCTGGAGCAGTATTTATATTGATCTTCCAGACTTTATAAAGTATATATATATATATATAAACTAAGGACCTTCTTTGTACACTGTTAATGAAAATGAATTGTGAATTGGCAACGCAGTGTAAATTATTCTGCAGTTAATGCTGTGAAACACATCTTCAAATTTTCACCTATTAAAACAAGTTGCAGCTGACTTTAACTTCAGTTAAAACAAACAAAAAACAAGTTAGTTTTTACTGCAATTAATGCTCTTTGACAAGAGGGGAATGTTGAAGTGCTATTTATTTTCTCAGTTTGCTTGCACTACAGTTTGTGGAACTCCAGAAATACTGTGTGCACTGCATCACTTCACAGCAGAAGGGGCAGTGTCTCCCCTTCCTAGAATGCCTGGGAGACCTGCATGGTGCAGGCAGGGCAAGTCAAAAAGGTTGCTTTCATTTTTAATTTTTTTTACATGCTGAAAAAATAGTTGTGTGTGAAGGGTGGGTTGGTTTATTTCCCCCCCCTAGTTTTTCATTGATCACATTGTTTCCTTCTTGCCCTCAAATGCAAAGTGTGTTGCCCCGGGGTGCCTGGGATGTGTTGGGTGCCTGTGTGGGGGAAGCAGCTCAGGTTGGATCATTTGGATCATCCCACCATGCTCAGCTGCTTTACCTGCTGTATTTATGTTCTCCTTGCTTGGGAATGTTCATCAGGTGCTGTGTTGGCACCAGCTGCAAGTTCCCCAGTCAGTTTCTGTGGGAAATGGTTAAGTATCAATAAGAAATATCTGTTCTGTCAGGGGTGGGGTCCAGCAGCCAGGTCCGATTGCACTGGTACAGCCCCTCCCAGTACAACTGCCCCCTCTTCAGCCAACAGAGCCTTTCACTTTGATTTATTTTTTTTTCCCCAGCTGAGCCCTTAGTTGATTTAAGATTACTGTCTTGATTTTACGTGTTAGGACAGGTGATACAGTCCTTAACTCTTACTGACACATAAATTCTCACTCCCCCCTTAGGGGCTGAATCAATACTAAACTTTCTCTTGGTCTGGCATTTCACTCACCTGACATAGCAAAGGGAGGGTAGTTTTGAGATCCTGGTGGGACCAACTCCAATCCTGCCTAGTCTGAGGATGTCTCACTGCTGCTGTGGAAACTCATCCTTTTGTCCTGGCATCTGTTTGTTTGGGTTTTGTGTTGTTTGTTGCTGGGTTTTTTTCAAACTCCTAAGAAGACTCAGAGGTAAAAAAGCTCAGCACAAATCCTGTATCAACTGAAGCCTCTTCTAGCTCTGCCCATCCTATGGAGTGGGTGCCCCAGTGCTAGAGCAATATCTGTAGCTGCTGCTCCACAATCACTCCTGAGCAGCTGGATTTGGCAAGGGAGGGTTACTCTGCCAGCTGAAGGCTGGATCACTTCCCAAAGGGTCCTGGCTGCCCCTCCATGGTGTCACAAAACAGCTTCTGTCACCAAAGGCCTCAAAAATAGTCTCAGGCTAGCTCTATATTGCAGACATGGCCCTTTCCTTGGGGAAGAGGGCTGCTGTGCAGCAGCAAGGCCTGGAGGAGAGGGCTGAGCAGGCCAGGGGACCTTGTGAGGCACAGAGGAAAGAGACTTGGTGGAGGGAGGAAAAAGCCAGGCAGAAGGTCAGTAACCACTGTGCCAGGCTGATCCTGCAGCTGTGGCTGGCAGGGAGCCTTTCCAAAGGGTCTCTCAGAGCAGGGCTGCTCACCCTTCGTGTCTAAGAAGCCCCATTTGTACTACTGTAAGGCTCCCTGGACCTGCCTGAGGGGGAAGGTGCTGCTGTGGGATGGGGTGAGTGGAGAATATCATCTGCTCCTCAGAGGGGTCCTGAAAGAACATGCTGTTGGCTGCATCAAGGTCTCTTCTGGTGACAAGTAGCCCTACTCTCAGCAGCAATGGTTATATCACAAAGCTGTACAAATTATTTTTTCTTAATGACCTTGCAATGTCCAATAAAACCTGATATCCTGAAAGTGTCTGGGAGTTTGTTCATTTCTGACCACCCTGGAACCTGCTGCAGCAAAGCCCCAGGGACCATTTCCAAGTGACTGCCTGGCAACCAAGAACTAGTTGCCTTAAGTACAGCAGCTCTGTGGGAGTGTGTGCCTGGCCTGGTGTTCATTACTGGCAGGTAAGATCAGTAGGGGGGGCATCAAAATAGGATGCTGCAAGTAGCAGCATCACTCCTAAACATTTAGGGAGGGAAATATTACCAGTCTGGGGGATCTGCCTGCCTCTCAGATTCCCAGTCAATGTATCTGGCAGAGCTGATATGTATGTGTCTTCCACTTAACCATAGTAAAGGCTTTTCTACCCTCTGCCCATCCCCTGCCAACCCACAGGACAGGCTCCTGCAAGGCCTGGGATTGCAACAGTTGCTGGGGGAAGAGCTCAGGCTCCTGGTAGGGCTGGAGATAGTTCAGATCTTGGACTTGAGCAAGATCACTTTTCACTCCCTTTTCCACTGGGGGAGGTTGAGAACTTAGCAAAGAACCAGAGAAGCTTGCTTAACTCCAGCATCCATCCTGATTGCACCAGAGAGCAGCAGACCCAGCCCCTGCCTCCTGCCACAGCTTCCAGCACCCAGTGTGAGGCTGGAAACAACCCAATAATCAGTGTTTTAAGGAAGGGGCACCTTACCCAGCTCCCAAAGCTACCAGGTGCTTACCTTGAGATGTGTGCTTTGTCACAGATGAGCTTCCCTGCTTCCAAAGCAAAACAAAAGTTGTGCCAAGAGCTGCTTGGATTGCAGAGTCTCCAGCCTGGCTTGGTGCGTTTGCTGCCATCGTGCCCTGAGCTGCTTTGGCTGCAGGATGGGATGTTTCTACCACATGAAACACTCCAAACAAATGTGCTGATAATTTGCAGCAGGTTTAATCTGCATTCATTTTGATGGCTTCTGCCACTCTTCCTCAACAGCCAGTGAGAGATTTTTATTTGCTGAGAGCTCAGGAGGGCAGGTGGTGTCTGGACCCTCGCAAGGTGAGAAGATGGGGCCGCGGTTCATGTCAAGATCTTCCACTGTTGTTGCCCTTTCTGTATCAGAGGCTGGTAGAAGCTCAGCTGGCAGGAATCTCTTGTCCTAGAGAGTTCAGCAGGGGCTGAACCACAGAAAATGCCTCCTGATCCTGCACACCTGAGAGCTGCAGAGGAGCTCTGTGCTTCCCCTCCTCGGGAGCCCTGCCCCAGGTGCAGAGAAGCCAAGTGCAGCTGTGAGACCCACCAGTGCTGCTGGTGCAGGGCCAGGTTGGCCTGCATTGTCCCCACTGCTGCCCACACTGGGTTAGAGCTTTCTTGGGAAAGCTGGTGGCTCACAGCCCCTTCCTGGGGCTCTGGCACACCAACACAGCCCCTTCCACGCAGGGAATGGCAAGTACTTCCTAAGTCTAAAATAATTTTTGGCCTCCTTATTACTTGCTTCCCATGCTTTGGGTTCCCTCACCCTTCATTGCCTCTGACACCTCCACCAAGGACATGAGCCTGGGGACATTCTCCAGCTGGATACAGCCCCTCCTCCTTTTTTTGGGGATCACCTGCACCAAAAGGCAGGAGTTTTCCATCAGATGATGTGGAAAGGCTGAGGCTCACCCTGCAGCACCCAAGGGCTGTGGTGCTGCCTCAGAGCTCCCAGTGGGAAGCCCGCCCCGTCCCTCATCCCCAGCAGGGCAGGGAAGCTGCAGCTCTCTGTACAGCTCCCTGCTGTCCCAGCTGGCAGGCTGCCAGCCTGGAGGGGAAGGGCAAAGAAAAGCTATTTTGAATGCTAAACAAGCAGATAAAAACCCCAACTAAATACCTTTGGTACCAGCTTTCCACAACCAGCACTAGCAGGAAAGGCAAAACATTCCTTTGACTTGGCCTTGAGGTTCACCTTGAAGCCATAATCACCTGGGGAAGAACTAAGGCAGAAACCAATCTGGGATTCCAGCAGGTAAAAGCCTTTTAATCAGCCCCAGGTTGGTCTCAGTGGATACAATGTCATTTCAAAACACTTCGGACTGCCACAAAAGCTACATCCTTAAAATGGCAGCTAATTAATTTTCCTGTCCTGCTAACTTAATCCTTTTTCCAGCCAAGAAAGGCAAACAGGAGTTCATGAAGCAGCGAGGCAGCCCGAGCCTGGCAGCAGGGCAGGAACACAAGCCCCAGGGCTCCCTGGCAGGGGCCCAGGCCTTGTTCAAAGGAAGGGGGAGAAAAAAAAAGGTGATATTTACATTATCAAACCCGTGGCTCATCCTTTGCTAGTGGTCCCTGGGAACCCACAGACCTCCTCCCTAGACAGACTGGCTATTTCTTCCCTGTTGGCAGGCCTGGTGTAACCTGTGCTGCTGGGCAGAGCACCAGGGCTGGCTGTGCCCTCCCTGCCCCTACTGGTGCTGGATGAACCAGTTTCCCCAGGATTAGCCCCAGGCACACCAGGCAGCAGGAGGACTTCACTTAGGACTTAAAAAAAAATTAAATAAGAAAAAATTAAAACATAAAAAAATTTCCCCTCCTCCCCCAAGGTACTTGTTGTGTATTTTAGAGCAGTTTGGGGGCAGCCGCGCAAGGGCAGCACTGACATTTCCAGCTGCCCCAGCATCCTCTGTCCCCCAGGAAGTCTCTGCTGCAGAGCAGGATGCAGGAGGAGGGGCCAGTGCTCTCAGCAAATGCTGAAGCAGCAATTTACTGTCCTGTCCTGGACACAAAATAAGACACTTGCACTAAAAAGCAGTTTTGGAGAAGCCAGTTGGGCAGGCTCCTTTCTGAGGAGCTCCCCATCACAGGTCCACACCTGGGGATGAACAGGGTGAGGTTTCACTGGCAATTTTCAGCCTCTTACTGGTTTCCTATGGCAAGCAGTCACTTCTGTTTCCTTGCTTTCACAGCCCCTTATGACTGTGTGAGCACCAGGGGTGCAGCACAGACCCTAGGGAGGACACCTCTGCTCTCCTCAGCAGAAACACAGGATTAGGCCACCTGAAACCCAGCAAAAAAAATCAGCTTTTAACTGCCCTTCGAGGTCAGAGCCCCCTCTTGCTCCTGTTCTGGCAATTTCTGGAAAGAGCCATCACTCCACCAGCCATCACTCATCCTATTCTCCAGCAGGTTTCCCACCACAGCCCAGGCTGTGACTCACCAGCCTGTCCTCAGGGGAAACAACAGCCTGGAGTAGCTCTCACCTCCCTCCACCTGCTGCCAGCCCCAGGGGCAGCCACAGCAGCAGCTGGCTGAGCACCC